TTATTTAAATGATGATTTTATAGCTGAACAACTCTTGCTTATTCCTGTGGCTGATTGGTGCTCTGAGCCTTACCCAGGCAGCCCAGGTATGATGTCTTTTGGCTTATAGCGCTCTCCTCTTGACAACCTCCAGCTTACTCTTAACATATGGAGGCAGCTTCTAATTTCTCTGGGAATAAAGCTATCCTGAGGCTTGGATGGTGCATGTGGAACCCGGTATGGGTTTAATCCAGGAGGATTGGAAGTGACCAGGTGAGCACAGAGTCTGATCAGAGGGGAATGGGTTGAACTAGCATCTCTAGTGCCCAGAGAGTCCCCGCACTTCTAAACAAACAATGCTCACAGTATTTGCACGCTGACGGAGCTGTTACACGAGCACTGTATCTACTATTGTTCTGGCAGATTTAATACACTTCTTTTGGACTCAAATCTAGTTCCAGCCATGAATTTCAGACGTTACAGAAAGCCTGATTTAACTTGTGTTAAAGGGCTGCGGCCATCAGGACCAGGAATGTGGTTGCATAATGAAATGCAATTTATTCACAGTATGGAGAGTCTTTGTCTTAAAGTGAATTGTTTAAATATTTCAGAAGCTGAGCATCTATGGAGATTTGGAATACATGAATGAACAAAAGCTGAACAGATACCCATCTTCTGCACTCGTTGTGGTTAGATGCAAGACTGAGGAACATGAAGAAGCAGGACCTCTTCCTACAAAAGTCAATCTGGCTCAATCAGCAATTTAAATGTCTCCATTGGATCCAATAGACTAATTCTAACAGAGCTAGCAACTCCTGATTGTTTGTGGTGGTTCTTCAGATAAGAAGCTTAGCAGCCAGTCTTTAAATGCAAATAAAGTTACAGAATCAACAAATGTCATGGGATTTTCAACTAGTAGTGAAGATTCAGACATCTTGAATTTATGTTTGTTTCCAGACATAATCACTTCTCACTGGTGTTTGCTATGTGTCTTTTTGCTTACAAAAGTTGTAAGCATGCTTTCCATACTTCTGCCATGACACTTTCAAACTTATTTGTGTGTTCTAGGATGTAATGTGTACATTCAGAGTTAGCTTTGTAAAGGTATAAGAAATTCTGAGTAGGCAGGAGATGCCTTTTTAGTGTTGCACTTTCTGTTGTAGTTAAGAGAAAATATTATAAAATTATCTGCTGAATTTTTGTACTTGTTAATGTTCATGCACAAACAACTCTGTCTCCAAAAATAGAAATATATTTTTTCTACAGTGTGGCAATATGCAAGGTGGAAAACATTTGTGAAGTACTGTAGGCTAGAACTCAGTTTGCGAAAGATGGAAACCTTGTTAAAGCTTGTGGACATATCCTTTCACACATAGAACGTAACACAGTCCATTATTTTGTCAAACCTTAGCTTTCAAGTCTTAAATTGCTTGTAAAGTTAGCACCTGTGTTTTCTGAAGAAATTCTACTTTCTGTTCTTGATTAACTATTCTAGTCTTGTAACTTCATTTACAGAAACAAGTTGATTCCTGAGAAATGAGAACAGACAAATAAAATTGACCGTATAGAAAATACTGACTATATAGCTTTTTGCTATGCTTAGTTATTGACCATACATTCAGTACGAAAGCCTGTCTGTACCATTCCTCTCGGGCAGTGTGACTTGATTTTTGCTACGCGATTCACTAATGCAACCACAACAAACGACGCCCCTCGTATTTCTAATAGTTTTTTTGGTTTTTGCAGCTTTCTTATTTGAGGGGATTACTATATGCTGGTTCCCATGACATTGACAAGTTGGAGGGTGTGTGGTTTATTTTACGATCTCTAAGTGTTTGAAACTGGCTAGGATGCATGATCTTTAACTCATCATCATATTTTGTGGCTTATACAGAACTCCCTTGAAGATTTAAAAACAAAAAAACAAAACAAAACCCAACACCTCTTCGGGTTTTGGATTCTGATGAGAACTGTGGTGTTTCTGGAGGATACAGTATAACGTTCCCTCACTGTTAGAACTGGTTCAACAGCCATTCCTAGTTCCGCTGTAAGGCTGATGGTTGTGTAAGGACATGATGGAGCCTTGCAGGGACATCAGGAATGTGCATTAAGTGGTCTGTACCTTCGGCTGAAAACCCTAGAAGCGCTCAAGCAGGTTTTCTGTCAATGAGGTTTAAGAGCATTAAGATGTTTGTTTTAAGCAGACTGGTATCAATGTGCAGAAATTTCAGTCTGAAGTCTTAAATTAGTGGTACCTCTTCGTGCTAAATGCTTCAGTGGGACAACATCGTAGCCCAGAAATTTGGGTGCCAGCAGCCACTGATGGGTACCTTTGTGTCTAGGTGGCATTATCGCAAAGGCCTCGAGCATGACTTGTGAAAATTGGTGGCGTGATGTTTTCAGAACACCATTCGCACGATAGCAGCGGGAAATCCCTCTGTCTGCAGTGGTGATTCAGTTGAGACGTGCGTTTCTGCTCGCGTCACGTGACCCTCAGCGTACAGCCCCGTTTCAGTGCAGTGTTCCACTCCGAGCGGTATCGAATAAGATTTGTGCAATGGATGTTTAAATTTATTTGTAAATATGGGCTTTACTTCACTGATTATTGCCTGTCGTCTTAGCACTGTGTTGTTGGGGATTGCCTTTCCAGAAGAGACTTTAGCAATCCCAGTTTTCCTAACTGAATTACTAACATGGAAATGTTTTCAATTCTGTTAAAATGTTTTCCTTTACTATTTTATGTAGTTGCAGAGGGAGTGTTACAGCTTCACGAGAACATGGCTATTCGCCTGTTTCAAATGTGTACAGTACAACTTCTGTTATGTTGATGACTTGATTTCATAAAACTTTCTCATCCAAAACGTTTGACTTTATTGCTTACATTCCAAGATTTGAGTTAAACAACTTCTGCTTTCATTTGGCATTGTATCTGCCTACAACAAAGGGAAAAAAACGCAAGTTTTAGGGGTTTTTTGTCATCTTTTTTTTTTTTTTTCTGTTTAATGACATTTTCAGCTAAGTGATCTGTGCAGTGAAGTCAGTGATTCAGTAATGTGCTGTTAGGTCACAGGAAACTCTGTGCCTGTGGCATCTGTCAGCACTGCTGTTCCCAGAGTGAACTGGAGTCTCAAGAATTTAAGTGTTGTACTCGTAAGCTCTTGTCAAAGTATCTTCCCTCAGTAAAATGAGGTACTAGCTAGGCTGCAGTAATTGACCTGTTTCTCGAGATTTCTAATCTAAACGGACTATTTAAGCTCTCTTGGCATTTGACTTTGCAAAATGCCTTGTCCTACTCCTTTTTTGTTAAATGTTTGACTTCCTAACATCTTCAGAGGCTGCAGTTTGGGTTTGATCTCTGCCTAAGACCACTGTTTAAATGAAGGGCCTTAAATTATTGAAGTTGCAGGAAGAAAGCATTTCATATTCTCTTTAGGCGTGTGTTCAGTTGAACTCGTAGCAGATTTTAAATGGAATTATCTTGACACAAATGAGGCAACCCTCTCAAGTGTGTGCGATTCATTGCTGGCAGAAATAGCCGTGGTACATTTGGGGGGGGCATGGGGGTTTTTAGGTGCTAGAATTAACAACAGTCTCCTAATATACTGGATATCTTGATCTGTGTTCCCTCTTCAGCTTCTTTTTGGCAAAGTTGTTTGTTTGTTTGTGGGGTTTTTTTTTTTTTACACTTCAGAAATGCTTGCTTGCGTTTGTTACCTCATTCTCACGTACTCATTTTTCTGAAGTCTTTGATGTGGAGTAGCTGCTCTGAAATCCAACTGCCTGGTTGGCTACGGCTGAGCTTGATAATCTTGGTGTAGGAAATAGACGGTGATAGATGTCAGGTCTTACAAACATGTGTCTCTAAGAGTGGGTTTACTCCGCGTTTTAAACACTTCCATCATAGATTGTTCTGCGGGGTATGCAGAGCTAGCCTGCCTGACCTGGCTTTTACATGGGACTCTCGGCAAACTCACTGTCACCTAATGAGCTTTCTGAATGCTCAAAATAGTCCTTCTGAATCAAGCCTGATTAGAAACTAAAACTTCCTTTTTAAAGACAAACAGATCCAGAATTTAAGATAGGCAGGTTTTAACCCTTCAGCTGTTGTTCTTCCATGTTGTAGCAGGTGTCTGCAGCCCAGGCTTGCAGACTGTTTGCTACTTGGTGTTTGGTGTTTTTACCCAAAATCCCCCTTGGAACAGGAGAGCTTTCTAGCACCAAGTTTAACAGTGACATATTGCTGTGAGAAGCTTCTGCTTTGGACAAGTGGTGGTGTTGCCATGCCGAAGGAGGAGCTCCTACAAGGCTGTATTTAATTCTGGGTGGTCTGTGAACAGGTGAGCGCAGGGCTGGCAGATGCCCTTGTCAAGAAGCGTGTATAAACTCCATGGAATCAAGAAATAGCTGTATGTGTGGGGATGGAAAGGGAGGTAGCTGTAATCCTTCCTCCGTATTGGGCATTATTTCATGCTTTCAATCAATTTGAAGCCAGCTTGTAGGCAATATAGCTGCCAGCTTCTCCTCCGAAGCCCTGGTAAGCAGTGTGTCAGCTCTGTCTTGGGAAGGAGGTGGGGAGAAAGGAGACTTGCACGAAGATGATGAGACACTCTTCCCTCAAGCTTTCGTCGTGAAGGGGTGTTCTCCCTGACCGGCAGCAGGGTAGCTGCAGTGAGTATCAGCTAGGCGTGAGCCTTCATCTTCTGAACTGGCATCAGGAGTGGCAGCGGGCATCAGTTCTTGGCATCCAAAATCTCCGTGTCCTTTATGATTTGCCTGTTGTGGAACCAAGATGGAGCCAGGAGGAATGAGAAGCAAACCAGAAACCCTGTTTCCAACCGGAGCTGGAGCATGGGCTCGGTGCTGCCTTCCCCATCCCCTCCTGCTTGCGTGCCCAGGCGGCAGCATGCTCCTTGCTCTCCTGCCTCTGTTGGTTTTTGTATCCTGGTAACAGAGCTCCTGTTAGCTGCAGAAAACTCCCCGCGGTCCTTTGAGCTGCTGTGAGGGCTGTCGCTCTGGGAAGCATGAACAAAACTCACCCCCAGGTACAGTCCTTCTCTTTGGGGAAAAATCTTATGTTCAGCTGTTTCCTAAAGTACATATGTTCTTGATCACGCTGTTTGTCTGACCTCGTTATCACTGGTTTCTGTGAGATTTCAAGTCATTTCTACTTAACCTAATTTGATACAAAAGTATTGATATAAAGCACTGCACTTGCATTAATGTTTGTTTTACAAATGGGTAACTGAGATTTAAAAAGCAATCTGATTGATCACTTTGTGAATTAAACCTGGGCCACGTTGCCACCGAGGCAATTTTTGCTTGTATGTGAAAATAAAGGAATGCATTATATATTCCTGGGTAAGATGGTATGAGAACTAGAAAGGCATACCTTGTGTGGTTACTGCATGCTGCTTCTGTAAAGTCTTTTATTCCTTTCCTTCTAGAGAAATGGTGATGTAGCTACTTTTGATTCAACAAAGTCCTTCTCTGAAGAAAGAGGTAACGAATAAAATGCACAGCTTAATATTCTTATTATTAAATATAAATCAATTGAAACTATCTATGTAATGTAAAATACAACAAGTATTTATGATCTGTTGAGATTGATTTTTTTTTTTTTTCTTCCCCCTTCTGTCTAGTGAAACATCCAGACTATAAATTTAATAAACTTAAACTGCTCTTTGTTGGCCTGGAATTGGCAGTCTTATGGTTTAGGAGCATGATAGGCAATTCTTGTCTGTCACAGAAAGGCTCATAATGAACTTGCTAATGGCCCAACTTCAGCAAATTTTGGCCGTGTTAAGGTGAGATCAAACAGAATCAATAGCAAACCTGTAGATCGAGTTGCAACATTTCGTCACTGCCATTATTTTAGACTCGTGGCTGTTTGCAGCTGTTGTGCTTTCTGGTCAAAAGTGTCTTGTAGACACAGACATGCTGTAATTCATCACTCTTCTTTTAAGCTGAAATGTTCTGTGTTTGATTCCTGCTCAAGCATGACAGAGGGGGTGTTACTGCAGCCAGGATCCCTTTGCCATTGAGCAAAGGCCGCGTCTTCACTTCCGTTTCTATAACACAACTACTAAGTAAATATGAAGCAGAGCTAAGACAAATTCTAAATTTTCAATGAAAGTTTAGAAATACCAAAATCCAATTATACATGATCGGTTATGTGTTTCTCTGACCACATTAATTTTTATTCTATTGGTCTGGCGATACAAAGGGATGTAAGAAAATACAACGTTGGTTTAGAAACAAAGCTCTGGTGCCGCAGATTGCAGGGGGCAGCTGAACGGCGTTGCTCTTACGTGCGCTGCTCTGTGGTGCAATGACTGTGGGTTTGGCCTTTAGCTTCCGGATTTTGCTTGATTTATGTATGTGACTTTCTGAAAGTTGGACTCCCTGGAAGGTTGCTGCCCTTTGTACCCTGGAGATGTCTTTAGGGAGGGAAAGGGATGATCTTCAGCCAATTCTCACTATTTTGAGCTGATAATTCAGCCTTATTTTGTGGGAGCATTAAAGTCCTCGTTGGGGCAGAAAGCCCAAAATGCTGTAAAATTTCATTTTACCTCTTGAGGAGTTTTGCTGTGGGCTCTGGGAGGGGAGGGCACCTTTCCCAGCCTTACACTGACCTGCCCTGTGCTTTGGCTGCTCGGGCTGTGAAAAGGGTATTGCTGTCCCACGGGGCCGGGCAGGGGCTTGGCATCCGCCACCCTTCTGCATCCGAGAGCTTTGGGTAAGCTCCAACGGAGACGCAGCACTTCAGGGTTGGCAGAGACCTCAGGGGTCGCTCCCAGTGCTCTGTAATGGCAGCACGGGCTCTTCCACACTGCAAGCAGCAAAATTCCCTGCGAGGGGGTGTTGTCATTGTCATTTAGCTACTAAAACTCAACGATCAGCCCACACCAGTCCTGCATGCAGACCCCCCTGAAACACCCCGTGGCTCTGTGCCGTTCCCCTCTGAAACACCCCGACCCCGCTCAGACCCACCGGACCCTTCCCCGGCCCCTCACCTCTCTCACCTTTTTTTGCCACCCCCCCAGCGCCCGTGGGGGCTGCACGTGGAGACGCGCCTGCATCTCCGCCGCGGTGCTGCTCGTCCTCACTGCCGCCGTGGGCTTGGCCGTGGCGCTGGGACTCCTGTTACGTGCGCCAGGTTGGTATCCCAGGAGTCATTATTTTTTTTGGTAAGGGAGGCAGAAAATGATGTTGCTTGAGAAAAGCCTTTGTGTGCATCACCACGCGTGAAGTCGTGTTTCCCGGCGCAGACCGGGAGGAAGGAAAGGGACCAGCAGCGTGGTGCGGGGCTGTGCCAGCCTTGCACAGACTGAGTCACCACCAGCCGTTCCTCGGCTCCAGTGTCCTGCTCCACAGGGCTGTGGTAACTCTGGTTGCACGGTCATGCTTCAGACCAGTAGTATAGTTTTCAGACTCTGCCATGAACCTACAAGAAATTAATCCTGGCCCCTGGTTATTTCCAGAACAACAAATGAATTTCAGAAATCCCCTTCTCTTCCCCTTGATCTATTCCTCATACAATGAAAATGTTGGAAAATAAAGTCTTTCTTGCTTTCCCTTCAGTGAACCGCTTCTGTACAGCTTCCAAAAACAGGACAGGTTTCTTGTGTGACGACAGCGTGACGTGCGTCCCTGCCAGCCAGGTCTGTGACAGAATCAGCGACTGCAGGAATGGAGAGGACGAGCAGGAGAAACTCTGTGGTGAGTGGTTTTGTTGTGACCATCCTCCCCGCGCTGGTCTTCCTGTCATGAGACAGAGCAGCCAGTGTCCCTCTAATCCTGCTCCGTGCTTCTGGCCGTGTATGTGAGCAGATAAGCCTGGTAGAGCCTTTGTAGGGCAGATGCTGAAGAGGTGGCACTGCCCAAAACCCAGCGGGAATGCCAGAAATCAAGGACTCTGAGCTCCTCTGATCTTCCTAGGGTTTTTTAAACTGCAATGCAGTTTTCCTCCATTGATTAAGCTGTATGCCTACATGGTTAATTTATTGTCCAGTTACCCTAGGAAAAAACTCATTAAAGCAGAAGCCTGGGGCGCCCAGACTCGGCTTCTAGCTTGGCCACAAGCATCCCTTTTCCTCTCCAACCGCAGCTTCCCCGTCTGCGGCATCATTCATGCCCTGACACCGCACAGGGAAGGACCGACTGACCCCCCCCACTCCATAACAGCAGCCTTTGGCAGCCACCATCCCCATTTTAGCCAGCACATCTGTCCCCTGTGTGTTCCACCCTTGCAGGTGACTTGCCCCGCAGCCTTCCGGGATACCTGGTTTTCCGCTGCAGTAACCCCGCGTACTGGGTCTATGCTGATCGGAGGTGTAACGGGCTGAACGACTGCGGAGACTGCTCTGATGAGATGGGGAGCTGTAAGTCTCTCTTCTGGCTACTGTTGGGCAAAAGATCTCTTCTGCTGATTGATTGAAAGAGGTTGCACAGGTGTGGCACTCACTGATGCTGCTGGAAATGTCTAGAGGCTGGCATCCACCACTAAAACACAAAATAGCTGGGATAGGATGTGAATATGAACCATGCAGGCTCCATCCCATCAGCTGCTAAGGCTTCTGGTGGCAATCAAGAGAGGAAAGGCTCCATGTTTTTCTCCCAGCTCCAAAAGTTGCTGCTCCTCTGTGGCTTGCTGAGTGTGGAGCAGTTCCATCATGATGTGTAGTTGTAGGCAGCAGTGATCGTTCAAACCGACCTTTGGTTGTTGGTCAGGAGAAGGGTACATGTCTGAGCCAGGAGGGCTGAGCATGCCTCAGCAGCTTCAAAGCCATCTAGATCCTTCTCTCACTAAAATGAGCAGCAGGTTTGTTTCTAAGTCACCTCCCTGGTTTTGAACCTCAGACAAGACCTGCCTGTATCATCAGCTTTCTCTAGAGTAGCTTGCTAAAAAAAAAAAATAAAATTACAACTCATTGTTCTTCCCAGGATGGCATGTCTGCCATGAAGGTCATTGCAATATCACGCTCCGTGGTTGTCTCCCACAAGTAGCACCAAGCGAGTGTCCTCTTTGGTGGGTTCACAGATACAGGGTCATCACCAGTGGCTTTTCAGTAGCTGCCAGGGGACAAAAGGGTAGCTACCTGCGTGAAAAAGAAGGAAGGGGTCAGTGCAGCAGAGGCATTTCTATTTTCTGTTTTCCATCCCTCCCAGTGGTGGACTGTCCTCCGTGCGGGTCGGAGTGGTGGAGCTGCAGCCCTGTGTTCTACCAGTACTGCTCCTGCGTCCCCAGGAGGCTGTGCCGGGATGGCGTCCAGCACTGCCTCAGCTGGTCCGATGAGTATATCTGCAGACCGTGAAGTCTTGGCAGCGCTGGAGACAGCACGGTGCTTCCTGCGTTGTCACCTTTAAGCCTTGGTGTCCTCCTGCTCTGCCACCCACTTGGGACGCTCCAACCCAAGCAAATCCTCAGCAGCAGCACACTGACTGTCGCACAGCGACACCGAACAGGGATGAAGTGCGTATTGCAGGCCAGACGCTGGCTGTGGGACACCTTCCAGGGTTCTCCTGTCATGTGAGGGTGAGTCCTTTCTACATGAGCCGAGCGCTGCCTTGCAGCATTGACTGGATGGGCTGTGTGCAGGCTGCTGGCGACTGTTGAGCAGCTGCTGCCAACACAGATACTGTGTCTGGCCAACCCTGGGCGAGGGGTTTCTCCTGCGTGGACATGCTGGTGCCTTCACAGGCAGCCAGATGAAGGTATGTTGAGGACTACCCTAAAGAGCAGGAGCTGAGCGAGGTCTTTCCAGCCCTTGGGTTAGCGTTTCCCTCCAATGTGTCTTCACGCTCCTGACCCTCAGGGGCAAGAGGAGAAGCTTGTGTTTGTGTTCAAAGCATGTCTGCAGATGGTTCCAGCGGTGGCTTTGAAGGATCTGCATTGATGTTCCCAGGATGCTTCCTTGGGAACGCTGTGCTGAGGATGGCACCATGGGGACCTGCTGCACAGGCCACCTCCCGTGCCCTTCTCAAACACGAAGGCCAACGTGGAGAGTGTAATGGCAAGGAAAACTGCCGTGGAGAGGCTCAAGGGTTTGTGGGGATAAATTACCGTGCCCTTGTGACTGTGTAGCTGTTCCTTAAAGCCAGGGCAGGGAACCAGCATGTATATAAAATGTACTTCTCTCTGGGCTGTACAGTTTTGGAGCAGGAGCTCAGCAGGTTGAGAACAGCCGTGGGGCCGGGGTGTGTTTGCACTGAAGTTGGCAAAGAGAGGAAAAAAAAACAGTCGCAGCTTCAGAGCAGAGAGCAGCAGAAAACCAAGTGCTGCTCCTGGGGTGGTGTGGGATGACACGGGATCCGTTTGTTGCTTATTTCATTCCTCTGCCAGCAAAGCAGGATCAGGCAGCCAAACCTTCAAAGCAGTCCTCAGGATGTAGGTACAGATGTGCCACTGAAATTTCAGAAAGATGGAGTCTTTCTCTGCTGCTTTGAAAATCTCACCTGTGTCTAAAACATTGTGTCTGAGAACTCCACATTTACAGTGAGTGCACTTACTTTTCTAGGCCCAAAATAAACTTCAGGCGATCTCCTTCCCACCACCATCCCAGGTCATAGATCTTTAAGAATACAACCCCGTTCAATCATTTCCTCTCCGTCCTGTGATCTGCGACTCTGCATGTCACCATGACTTGTATCAACGGTGAATATTTCTTCTAATTTGTCCCCGGAATACAGTTGTAGGTCTGACAGATCTTTTAAAAATAGCTTTACTGTATTCTGACTCATACTTCACCTGGAATGAGATGGTAAAACTCTGTGTAATGGAACCGGTACTACAGGAAACTTTTAAAGCCGTATTTAATAACCCGTCCTTCTCCACGCCTGGCTAGAATGGATGGCTTGCTTTGTGCCTGTAAAAGTTCACTGCAGTGCATTCAGTGCTGCAGCTCGGAAGAGCAGTTAAGAGTTTCTTACCTAAACGTTTCTCAGTTGCAAGCTTCCAGCCTCAAAGCCTGAAATCGAGATGTACGTTTTTACTGGAAAGTCACGGACATCTAAGGCTTCAACAAGGCTGAGTTGGGGCTGGTAAATAAAGCCTGGCTTATTGTAGTCACTGTTGTTCCTCTTGTTACCCCAAAGTATGTTCCAGGGCGCTCAGTGAGGAAGTCTTTGCACAGTGAGGAAGTCTTGCAGCACTGAAGAGGAGCCCAAGGAGGGGTAATTCAGAGGCAGCGCTATTGGGTCAGCCTCTCCTTCCTGGGGAAGAAGAGCTCCTTTCCAATTCAGTTTGAGTTCGGCCACGGACTGTTTGTCTGTTCCTTGGCTTCGAAGTGGGAGGGTGTGCAAAAACCTCTCTGCATTGGGAGGGGGCAGGTGGGCTACAACTGCTGCACGCTTCTATGGGGCAGTGGTCAAAGAAAGGGGGGAGAGAAGGGGAAGAAGAATCTCATCCCTTATGATGGGAACCATATATGGATAACAGAATGACTGTAATTGGTAATGATTAAACTATCAGTTGCTATAAAAAAAACATAGAAACCTTCATGCTCAGCACAGGGCCTAGCCAATATGGTTTATAAAAAAAAAAAAAAATTTTGTTTTGTACCAAAGGTAGTGGGCTAGCCATGACTTTCTGGAGCCTCTGATGTTGGCTGTGGTTGGGAAGAGGATGCTGGTTAGGCTGACCCGTATGGCAACTGCTGTATTCTCCCAGTCCAATATTTGTCGGTCATTGCCACGGCTCACCTCTGCCAAGTTTTAAGATGTTCCAGAGGGCGAAGAGAAAAGGGTCAGGACGTGCGAGGTGTGAGCACGGGGAGTCGGATGTTTGTGCTTGCTGTGTGGAAGGCTGCTCCTCCGCTGCAGCAGAGGTCGAGTGGTGGCTTGCCTTGGCTGGCTGGGGACAATGTTGGGATCTGGGAATTCTTACTTTATTGCGAGACATGATAAAGAAGGCAAATGCCTGGCTT